GTTAGGTACTTTACCCTACTCCAAGGAAGTCCGTTCTCCAATAAATGAAATAAACCTGGTAATAAACCTGGTAATAAGCCTGGTAATAAACCCAATTTCCTTCACAGTGTCCTCCGCATTCAGCCAATAACCTCAGCAATAATTCTTGGGCACTTTCCACTCTACTTGGGCACTTTTGGGAGCCAAAAGGAGATAACAAAGAAACTTCAAGGACATAAAAATTTACTGAATTTCACTAAGCTACTGCCCTTGTAGACACTTAACATAAATGATTAGAAAGAGAAGGGGAGCAGCTTGCCCCTTATTTGCCAGGTGGGTAGGGCCCTCATCGTCTGATCCCATCGACAGCTTTCACCCCGCCTAAATAATCTCAAGGCCTAGCCTTTCACATCCATATAATGGAATATTAGCCCATTATAAAATTTCAAGCTCTTGCAAGTGAACGAAAAAACCCTACTTACACACCAGTGAGAACAGTACACTGCCATTATGTTCAATACATAAATAATATACGCATCTGCAAAAGCGACAGACACATGAGCCTGTCCAGGGAGCTAGTAATCCTGAAATGCCAGACAGAAGGGACTTGCAGGTTGGAATTAGAAGGACAATCCCATTTCACATGATGTGTTATTTTAATAATCCCACTCTCTGGAAATAAAAGATTTACCTGTTAGCAGCAAACTATTTCCAGAAGTTGGGCCCCATGTGCTGCATGAAACTTGAAGGACACACTTCAGTCTGTCTTTTCTACCTCTCCACTTTACCACCTCCCTTTCTTTTCCTCCTTCTTCCCCGCCACCACTCTCTATTTATGTAGTTTATTCTATTGGCCCAATCTGGAATTACTGATCTCAACTCAAAAGGCTTCGTGCAAGTCCTGGGAGTGAGACCATGTATCTGTGGCTCCTGCCCCATGGCAGTGGGCTGACAAGGGGAGAGCCCCCTGCCCGAGGCAGGTAAAGCCTCCAGAGCCCGGGAGCCCAGCACAGAGCTGGCTCCCATGTTCCCCTCCCTTTGAGGGCTGATTCAAGATTCCAAAAGGACTCTACAGTCTACCAGCTCCAGAGGCAAAGAAGGGAATCTGGTCACATCCTCCTTGACCCTGAACCTTCTATCTTGTTCCCCTGCTGCTGCTTTTTGTTGCCTTCCCTGTTGCTGCTCTGAAATACTCTGCCCCGAGGCCTTTGTCAGGCTGAACTCCATCTAGCCTGAGATCCCGATCCTGCTCTAAAGCTCCTAGCTTGGGGTGGATGATGCAACTGTGGCATCCCTTCCCCCGAGGCGGAATGCAAGATGGCAGCTAAACCAGGTCCACCCAAGAGGCCCCACACACTGCCCAGCTTGGACGGTTATCCATCACTGGTTCACTCCCTGTATTCCTCCCCACGCTCAGTGGCCGCAGCCTTCTAGGACAACAGTGAATGGGAGGGACTTTTGCCCCTAATGTTGTTCTTATTTGCCAGGTGGCCCTAAAGCTCTTACGAGGATTAAACCACAGCCTCTGATTTTAATTGTCCATTACCTAAGGAAACAGGGCAACTGCTCCCAGTCTCTCTCCACAGGCAGGTAAAATGGAAAATCCAGGGGCTTTGGGACCATCCAGCCCTGGACTGAACCCCAGCTCAACTCAGCTTTATTCTGGGCACCTTCCTTACCACTGGTTTCCTTATCTGCAAATGGGAATAGTTCCTACCTCATTTGTAAAAAACCAGTGAGTCGCTCCCTTCTTTATTCCTTGGACACACCCCTTTCCCATCTCAGCCCTCCAGCTAAACCCACCAGACCAGCCAGGACCTGGTATTATTTGGTAATCAACCTTAAACACAGTGTATAATCTTGGAAGTATAAAGATCCTATTTCTGATAAATATACTCCACCCTTTCTATCAAAAGGGAAGTTTGGAAAGCCTTGTAAGCCTATGTTATAAGCAACGAAACAAACAAAAAAAAGTGATTGGCCTTGATAACTACAGAACCTACCGCCCCAGCAACACACAGAGTGACAGGTACACACACACACACCCCCCTACCTACTGCCCCGGGACCAGGGTTCCATCCCTCACTGGCTTTCTTTGGTGCCTGCTAACCTTTACATTCACGGTCATGGTCAAGACTCAGTCTTCAAAACCCTCAAAGACCTCCTCCCTCATTTTTGGTAAGAGAAAACAAAAGGCCCAGAGAGCTAAAATGACTTGTTCAAAGTTTCACAGGGTGTAAGGGGCAGACAGCGGACTAACTGCTACTCAGCTGGGGGGCACAGCGAAGGGAGTAGTAACTCATGAAAAGCTTAGTTAAGAGGAACCACATGGCGAGGCTGTATTTCATCCTCAGCAGACTCTGAAGACGTTCTGCGACTCTCTGCATGTGTTTTTAGGATGACACACAGGGGACTGCTGAACACCACAGACCTGAACTGCAAGGGTCCACTCCATGCTGATTTTTTCGATAAATATGGCAGTAGCGTTAATGTATTTTCTCCCCCTTATGATTTTCCTAACATTTTCTTCTCTCTAGCTTACCTGGTTGTAAGAATACAGTGTATAGTACATGTAACATACAGAATATCCATTAATTGACTGTTTCCTGTTATTCCGAAGGCTTCTAGTCAACAGTAGGCTATTGGCAGTTAAGTTTTTGGAGAGTCAAAAGTTAGCAGGTGCATTTCTGACTGCGCGGAGTGGGGGTGTTGTTCAGGGGTGAACAGTATGAGTATTTATTTGCCAACAGGATTTCACAGATCTTTGGTGCATTTCTTAGAACTCCTGTGCTCTAAGACCAGTGCCATTAAATGGAACTCTGCGAAAAACAGAAACGCACACTTTCCAGTAATTTAAATAATTAAAACCTGAGCTAGCTGTGCCTACAGGGCTCTTGAAACGTGGCTTGTACAACTGAGGAGCTGAAGGTTTTAAATTTTTCAACATTTTTCAGTGACAAAATACACAACATAAAATTTACCATCTTACCCATTTTTAAATGCACCCTTTGGCGATAATGAGCACATTCACACTGTTGTGCGACCGTCGTCACATCATCCATCTCTACAGCTCTTTTCATCTTGTAAACTGAGACTCGATCCCCAGGAAAAGGTAACTCTCCTTTCCCTCCGCCTGCCCCCCAACCCCTGGCAACCACCATTGAACTTTCTGTCCCCATGATCTTGATGACTTTAAGTAAGTACCACCGTACAGTATCTGCCTTTCTTTTTTTTTTTTAAGGTTTTATTTATTTATTTATTTATTTGTCAGAGAGAAAGAAAGAGAGGGAGAGACCACACAAGCAGGCAGAGAGGCAGGCAGAGGCGGAAAGAGAAGCAAGCTCCCCGCCGAGCAAGGAGCCCGACGCAGAACTCGATCCCAGGACCCTGGGATCATGACCTGAGCCAAAGGCAGTGGCTTAACCCACTGAGCCACCCAGGCATCTCAGTATCTACCTTTCTGTGACCAGCTTATTTCACTCAGCAGAATACTCTCAAGGTGATCCAAGCTGCAGCATGTGGCAGGATTTCTTTCCTTTTGAAGGCTGAATAATATTCCACTTTATGTAGAGACCACAGTTTGCTGATCCATTCAGAGGTCAGTGGACCCTCAGGTGGCTCCCACATTTTAGCTACTGTGAATGCTACTACTGACACAGCTGTACAAGTATCTCTATGAGACCCTGCTTTCAACTGTCTTGGGTAAACACCCAGAAGTGGAATTGGTGAGTTGTCTGGTAATTCTGTATTTAGGTTTTGAGGAAGCGCCATATTGTTTCCTAAAGCAACTGCGCCATTTTATGTTTCCACCAAGAATGTGCAAAGGTTCTGATTTCTCCCCATCCTTGTCAATACTATTAATTTCTGGGTTTTTTTTTTTTTTATAGCAGCCATCCTAGTGAGTGTGAAGTGGTATTTCACTGTAGTGCTGATCTGCATTTCTCTTGTGATCAGTAATACTAACCATATACCTTCTTTGATTTGATGTTTTCATTTCATTTCACTGTAATGAGATTAAACTCAAATGGCCATATGTGACTAGGGACTGCCATACTGGACAGTGCAGCTCTAGACCACGCTGATTCTTAGGGTAATTTCAAGACCCAGAGCAGCAAGCACCAGGAGCTCTGGATGCCAATGGACCAGTCAGATACTTTCTAGTTCTGTGGACCTAGCCAGTCACTTACACATCCCGTACCTCAGTCTTTACATGTGTAAAACGGGGGTTGTACATCCAGAATGCTCTATCTAAGAATGAAATGAAATGAATCAGCATGCATGTAGCCCCTGGTACAGTCTAAGCACACAAGAGAGAATCGAAGCTAATGGGACATGCCTCTCCTCATTTCCCAGTTCCCACCAAAACTAGACACCTAGGAGTTGTCCTTTTCAGACACTTTCCCCAAACAGACTGCAGTCCTTTCCAGAGAAATGGACTTTCAGTTCTAAGAAACAAGGATCGTTGGCTCCCACCAAAAGAACCCCAAGATGGAGGGTGGACAGAGATGAAATCTGTAATCTCAGCCCTCTGATTATCAATGAGTCTGACTCTATCCAGATTCAGACTTAGCTAATAACCAACAAGAAAGTAAAGCTACCAAACTTCCAAATCTAGAACTCCTGGCCATCTCCTTCGGGAAGCCCCCAGAAACAAACCTGCAGAGGGAGAACCCTTTAAGAAAACTCTGTAACGGGCACCTGGTTGGCTCAGCTGGTTAAGCTACTGCCTTCGGCTCAGGTCATGATCCTCGAGTCCTGGGATCGAGGCTCACATCGGGCTCCCTGCTCGGCGTGGAGTCTGCTTCTCCCACTGACCTCTCTCCTTTCACGCTTTCTCTCTCTCATCCTCTCTCTCAAATAAATAAATAAAATCTTTATTTAAGAAAAAAGAAGAAAAAGAAAACTCTCTTAAGTCCTGAATGTGAGGCATGGCTCTGGACAGTCTGAGACTGATTTTTTGTGGCCAAGGCCCTCCTTCCATCCTGGTTGGCGACCACCTGGGTGAACCCCAGGCACCTTACCTGACGCTGCAGTGGTGGGGGTGCTGGCCGGCGCGGGCTGCGAGGGGCTGCTGCTCTCGGTCATCAGGCACGGGTTGCTGCCATTGCTCTCTCTCTTGACAAGCAGCTCAGCAGCGCTGGGCAGCGGGATGGGGTGGCTGATCCCCAGTTCTTCCTCCTGGGCCTGCTGCCTTCTCAGGGCCACCTGGAAGCACAGGGCAGCAGGTCAGCCACCCATAACCAGAATCTCTTGCACGGCTTTGCCAAAACCCCTTGGAGTCCCAGTCACCCCAGATATCATGATCCCTGAGCTCCAGGAGTAAGGTCTAGGATTCTCTCACTCCTTTTGAATGCTACCCAAGTCACCAGGATGTGCAGCCAAAGCTGAGAAATGGCGTCAAGCCCACAGTAGGTAAAAAAAATGTCCGTTACACTAATGAGTATGTAGAGCAGGGAATAAGGCTGGCTGCAGAGGATCCGGAAAAGCTGTAGAGTCAGTCAAGCAGAGGAGTTCCATCTGAAGGGAAGTCAGCATTGACAGATTAGGAAGGAAGGAGAATGGGATCTCTCACTCTTTCTGGCCACACATTTGTCAAAGGCTACTGTACTGGGGCCAGTGACCAGCAAGATACAGTAAAATTAGATTAGATCCTAAGGTAGTCACTGTTTAAAAGCAGGAAGAGGAGGCAGGCACACATGCGAAGGCAACTCAACACAAAATGCGGCAAAAACCATAGGAGACGGACACCGCTGCCTCACAGCAGGACTCTGGAGGCAAAAATGGTTTGAAGGGTAAGAATCAGCCAGAAGAGGTACTGGAAGAGGGCCTTGAAGAACAGATTGAGTAACACGCACACAGGCAAGAATGAAGGAACCCAAGGCAGAACAGGGGAGCAGGGTGGGCAGGAAAGGCAGGGGCTGCTAAGGAAACCCCGCAGGGCCAGGCTTTCCGGAATGAGGGGAGCATGTAGAGCGGTAATGGGGGAAAGGCTGGAATAAGGTGTTGAAGTCCCTGGAGAAGGAAGAGGCTGCAGGTAGAAAGAAAGGACAGGTCCTTCCTCTATGCCAGCAGGACGGAAGGAGCCGGAAGTGAGGGTCTAAGGGACTTAAACTACCTAAAAGACTCCTCATGGTCCCTCTTCAACTTATCTGCTTTTAAATAACATTGTTAAAGGTTGCAAAGAAAAAAGTAAAAAGAAAAAAAGAAATTGTACTTTTGTCTACTACATGTAACAAAAAAGGAGACTTTCTATTGAAACTTGACTATTAGTGATAGTGAAATGAGAAAGTAAAACATCTGTACCTCAGAGACCAAAACAGAAGCCAAAAGTTGAAATCAAAACGGTAAACCAGAAACACAACGACTCTTTATTGTTTTAGGAAAATTGTAGTCCAAACTTAGCAAGCTGATTAACTTACAACTGGATTTTCTCATAACAAGAGTTTTCAACTTAAAAAACCATCCTTAAATAATCAATTAACATTAAACGATTAAGCACCGCTCTTAGATTTTTTTTTAATTATTAACCAAGTTTAGAAACAGAATATTAAGGATTTGATTAAAAAAATACCAACAAAAAAAATCCACAAATCTCTGAAGCATATCAATGCATGCTTATGTCCTGATCCACACAAATTCCATGCACGCACAAAATGCACAGGGTATTTATTATATGAGCCATAAACTAAGGACACTTTTATAAAGGCCTCTCAAGGATTTTAAAGGAAAGCTATTCAGTAAGGGAAGGTGGGGGCAACTGATTAAAAAGCAATTATTTTAGGGTCATATCGAAGATCAATTTCACACTATTTCAGAAAGAAAAAAATAGCCGGTACACAGAATTTTACAGGATTTTATCTAGCACCACACAAGACTTCCAGCGTGGAAAACGTTGAATTTTCCTATTATTGAAGTAATCCTGAGTCGTTTTTGTTTTTAACATAGCAAACGGGCTTTTTGGAAACTGGTGCCCCAATTAATGAAGCTTGTACAAAATGAATGGCCCTACTTCAATACATGTTTTTATTACATTTTGAGAAAAGTCCCCTCCCAAGCATACATATTCTGCACTCAATATTTAAAACAGCTCTATGTTCAGAAGATTTTTCTAGCTACAAATAGAACTTCGGGGTCCCCTAAGGCTTTTTCAGTAAAGTCACTGTAATGCATTTTAACGCTACATCGGGGAAATCTTTTCACCCACTACAGATGACCCCGCAAACCCAAGAAATCTGCGAAGCCAACATATATCCAATTTAAGACACATTTGTAAAAGATGAGACGCATATAAAAAGCATAATCTTCAAGCATTTTCTCGGTCTTTGTTAAAACACTCTCACAGGAATTATTTTCCACGGAGAATATTTACACGTTCCCAGTCCAAAGCAGCACATCCGAAGCAAACACCTCTTTGGTATCTTTTCATCTTAAATAAACTGCCTGAAAAGGATGAAACAAATTTTAGCTGGAAAGAATGTGTATTATTCTCTCCTAAAAAATCCTTTCAGTTAAAAAAAAAAAAAAACCTTAAAAAAAAAATCCTTTCAGGACGCCAGACGACTTGGAGAATTTCGGCTTAAGACGCTACGTGCCTGTCTTCCTCAGGACGTATCTTTCCTTTTCTTTATTTTTTAACACGACAGACAAGCCCTCAAAGCCGTGGCATTTTCCCCCTCGCGCTTCCTTGTAAAAACTCGTTGAGCGTGCTCGAACACACGCCGAGTAGCCGGTACCTGAGGGAGTCGGGACGAGGGAGCCGGAGCCGCAGAGCGAACGCTGTTCCCGTCGCGCTCAAAATGGCCGCAGCGCGCGGCGCGGACGCGCGGGCGGCGAGCTCGGAGCCGGCGCCGGCAGCTCCTCGAGGACCACGCGGCCTCCGCGCGCGCTGCCGCGACTTTTCCAGAAGCACCACGCGCCCCGCGCGGTACCCGGAAGAGCGGCGGCCGCCGTTCCCGCCAGTCGCCCGAGCGGGCGCCCTCCCGCACCTCTGCAGTGTGAGCGCCAGTCTCGGCTCCCAGTCCCAAGGCCTCCCGAGGCGGGGGAGGGTCCCCAACTCTCCGCTCGGAGAGTGAGGTCCGGGGTCCAAGGGATGCCCTCCCCCCCCACCCCCCGCGCGCGCGGCGGGGCGAACCCGGCAACTCTCCGCTCTGAAAGCGGGAGCTGAGGTCCTGGGGCCCTCGGAAGGCGCGAACCCTGCAACTCTGTGCTCTGAGAAAGCGACCGGAGAGCCTAGCAATGGTGGGGCCCTCCGAGGGTGCGAACCCCGCGATTCTGCTGGAGGGCGGGATCAGGGACTCCCGAACAGAGCGAACCCCGCAACTTACTGCTCCGGAAGCAGGAGCGGAGATCGTGGGGATGGATTCTCGGGATCTCCGACGGGGTGAACCCCCCCAACTCTGTTGGAGGGCGGGGGTCAGGGATCCCGGGACTCCCAACAGAGCGAACCCCGCAACTCTCTGCTCTGAGAGAGGGATCAGAGGTCCTGGGCAAACTCAAAGGGGCGGCCCCGCCACTCTGCCGAAGGTCGGGATCAGGGATCCCTCGGAGGCCGAGCAAACCCCGCAACCTCCCTGCTCCGCGGGCCGGATCCCAGAGGACTCCCGGCCCTGCGAGCCCGGCGTGGCGCGAGGCTGGCAGCCGCGGCGTCGGCGAGCTCCCCCGCGGGTCTCCGGAACCCGGCACCGCGCGGCGCCCGCCCGGCCCGAGGGACTTTAAGCTGGGGGCGGACGCTCGGTTCCCGGACGCCCGCACTCACCTGCGCGGCCATCACGCGCTGTCTCTCGGCGATCAGGTTGCACTTCTTGCACTGGCAGTCCCGCCACATGCAGAAGCGCTTGTGGCCCTTGAGCGGCGACGCATAACCGTGGTTCCTGCATCGCGCGCACTTGGGCAGCCGCGGGGACTTCTTGCTCCCGGAGCCCATGCCCGACGCCCCGGAGCCCGAGGAGCCGCCGCCTCCGCCGCTGCCCCCGGCGCTCCCGCCACCACTGCTCCCGAGCAGCGCCCCAGCCGCTTTGCCAAAGCCCCCGGCCTTGCCCTGCGGGGGTGCCCCGGCGGCGTGCGGGGCCTCCGAAGAGGCAGAGGGCTTGCTGAACGCGTCGTCGTTGGGCATGGTGCCCTAGCGAGAAGTGCGAGGAAGCGCCGGGCCCCTCTCGGGTCTGGAGACGGCTGCAAGCGAAGAACACGGGCGACGGCGAGGCTCCCACGGGGAAGGCCCAGAAGACGTGTGCGCTGCAGCCGGAGGTGCAGCCGGAGTGGCGCGGTCTGGACACGCAACGCCCAGACTGGTGGGGGGTTGTGCCCTTTCTTTTGGCGCGCGCGCCGCGCAGAACTTTTAGATACTTTTCAGAACGTTCCCGGGACTGCCTGGGCGGGAGAGGGCGCGAGGGAATGCGGCCACGCCCACCGCCCCCCAACTCCAGCCACTGCGTTCCCGCCGGGAGCCAGCTCGCACAGGCTGCAAACACCGAGGGCGTGGCTGCAGGTGGCTGCAACGCACCTCGAGGTGCAGAGCCACCGGGGACACGTGATCTCTGCGCTCCCCCAGGCACCTAGGCCCGGCTGCCGGGAGCACGCTGCACAGGGAGGGAGCTGAGCTCCTAGATCAGGAACGTAGCTGTGCACCTTCGTCGTGCACGCCGCTTGGAGGAGGTGCAGACCACCCTGTGGGGTCCTTTAGCTCCCTTCCCCCATTCTCCACGTTAGCTCGGTAGGGCAGAGGTTGGCAGAAGCCAATTCGAAAAGCGGTTTCTTACTTAAAAGAAGGATGAGATGGGAGCCCTGAGAGAAGAAAAGTCTCTGCCCTTAATCAGCAAATAAGACCCTCACTGTGGGGCTGAAGCGCACCCAAAAATGGGTCTTTCTGTGCACTCAGCCTTTAAAAAACCTTACTGGGATGGGAGAGGGGTCATACTTAACAGATGGAGACATTTATCCAAACTTCATCCCGCATTTAAGATCTGTGCATTCGCTGTGTGTAATTATACCTCTAAACACCGTCGGTGGTCTTACAGCCTTCCACCCACACCCCGACAACACTCCTCTGAGCCTCTGTTCACTTACAGGGCAAATCGGAACCTAAGGCCTGCTGATCAGATCATTTTTCCTACACACCCACAATGTCCCTACAACACCAGCCCTTCCCATGTCTGGATCTGCAGTAGCTTCCAAAGGGGCTCCCTGTTTCTTAATCTTCAGTATATCTCACATAAAACAGCAGCAGGCCCCTGCAATGGCCTTGTGTTGTTCGCCTTGTGAAAAGCAAAAGTTAAAGACCCAAGGCTGTGTTTTAAAGGACTTCAGTGATCCCCCCTACCACCCCCGCCTTTCTCAGCTTCACAGAGTTTCCAACAAGCTTGGAAGCCCTTTAACAGTTTTGTTCAGTGCCACTTCCCTAACCTCGCCATGGCCCTTGTCCAGCCAGGGGGCTGCCCTAACATCTCTCTGGGACTCTCCCTGCTTTTCCCCAGTATTAGCTCTCGGGTTCCAAATGCCATGCCCCCATCCAGGGGGGTTAGGTCCGCAAAGGATGGAGGCCACCCCGCTTGGCTTCTCACCAAGGTGGTTACTGGCATTTCACTGAGCTCTGAAATCCTCCAACCTACTCTTTGCATTCTTATTCTGAAGCCCCCCTCACGGGCTTTTTCCCTGAGCCTGCATTTTCTCCATTAGTATTCTCTGGCCGAAAATCACTTCCTAAAGAAGCTCCTAGCTTTACACAATACCTCGTATCCTTACCACCAAGCCCAGTGAAGCTCTACTCTGGACGGAAGCCAGGATGCAACCATTTATCTCATTCTGGAATCTGTTAAATGATAACTACTATTTTGTTGAGCAATACTCCTAGATCTTCCACTGAAACACACCTGCCAATTGCAGTTACCTACCAATGATCCTTTTCCATATTTTTATACTTGAATACATTAGCTAGCACTGAATTATTCCGAAGGCCCAATCCAGTTGAAGAGAACGAAGTAAATGCTGGAAGCAGCAGCTGTCGAGTCCCAAATTATAGGGGAGCACATGTTTCTTAGGGGCCTCCCATCACTAGAATCTGTGATGGAGAGATTTAAGGCTACAGACAATTTGGGGCTAGGAAGCTGTGTGACCAAGGTACAAAAACATAAAATGTGAGAAAGTTAATAGCCTAATAAAGTTTTATTTGCAAACCACAGAGGGAGTATCAGGCACAAAATGATCCAAAAGAGAAGTCAGGAGCCCTCAGGAGCAAGCAGATTGGTTCTGGATATTTTGAGCGGTCTGGCCCTATTGTCTCGTTTCTTTACTGCCCCCCTTCCAGAAACCAGAGCTCTGAAGGCTGATGATGCAGCTCTGTATGCACTGAGTTGGACAGATGGCCAAGACATGCTGATGAGTAGGGTGGGGGCAGAGGGAAGTCTGTTCCAAAACTTAGCAGGGTTGGGCAAAGACCTCTCAGATATGACACCAAAGCACAAGCATTAAGAGCAAAAAATGACAGACTGGCATTATCAAAATGCAAAACCTTCGTGCTTCTAAGGATAGAATTAAGAACCTGAAAAGCCACAGACTGGGAGAAAATATTTGGAAATCATATATCTGATAAAGGACTTGTATCTAGAATATATTAAAACCCTTATGATTTAATAAAGAACAGACAACAACCAAAACAATGGGCAACATTCTGAATGGACATTTCACTGAAGAAAATATTTGAATGGCCAATAAGCACATGGGAAGATGCTTGCTATCATCAACCATTAGGGAAATGTTAGGTCCGAACAACAGTGAAGAATTACAGTACAACCACGAGGATGGCTGTGCTCAAAGACAGAGACGAGGGGCACCTGGGTGGCTCAGTGGGTTAAAGCCTCTGCCTTCGGCTCAGGTCATGATCCCAGGATCCTGGGATCCAGCCCTGCATCGGGCTCTCTGCTCCGCGGGGAGCCTTTCTCCTCTCTCTCTGCCTGCCTCTCTGCCTACTTGTGATCTCTGTCTGTCAAATAAATAAATCTTTAAAAAAAAAAAAAGAGATGAGTGGAAAGTATTGGCTAGGATGTAGAGACACTAGAATTCTCAGCTACTGCTGGTGGGAATGTAAAGTAACACAGGCATTTGGGGAATTTTTACCATACAACTAAATAATTCACTCCTAGATAGCAACCCCGAGAAATGAAAACATCTGTCCACACAAGCACTTGGACGTGAATATCTGTGGCAGCATTACCCACATGAAATAATCCAAATTCATCAATGCTTGAATGAAGGTATGTATGTATGTATATACAAAATATGGCATATATATACCATGGACTCTCCAGTCATCAAAAGTGATGAGATGGGGCTGCATTCATAGCAAGAATGAAACTTGAAAACGGGATGCTAAGGAAAAGAAGCCAGATTCGTAATATTGTACGTTCCCATTTATATCAAATGTCCAGGAGAGGCAAATCATTACAGAGATTGCCAGGGACTGGCTAGGAATGGAGAGGAAATGCAGATGGGTATATGGGGTCTTTCTGGGGGTGATGCCATGGTCTAAAACTGTATTGTGGTCATGGTTGCAAAATTCAGCAAATTTATTAAAATTATTGGTATAACTAAAGTAAGAGAATTTTATGGTATATAAATTATGCCTTGGGATGTCTGGGGGACTCCGTTAAGCGTCTGCCTTCGGCTCAGGCCATGATCCCAGGGTCCTGGGACTGAGCCCTGCTTTGGGCTTCCTGCTCAGCAGGAACTCTGCTTCTCCCTCTGCCTCTGCCCCTCTCTCTGCTGGCATTATCAAAATGCAAAATGCACATCTCTTTCTCTCTCTCCCTCAAATGAGTAAAATTTTTAAAAATTTTGCCTCAACAAACAATCAAATAAACAAAAGAGCACCACAATATACAATGTGATTCCATTTCTGAAATAAGAACTAATGTGGGTTTATAGCTGGATAGGCTATTTAGCTTTCTCTGGGTTACCGGATTATGAGGGATAACCTCCTTATACTTTGTTTTTATTTTATGTTTTTGCAAAGTTGATCCAAGTTCTAGCACACACACCCCCATTCTGTCTCTCCCCCCATGGCTGTGTGGGAAGGGCTTACATCCGGGTTGGGCCAAGTCCCCCCAGCCTCAGCCCTGTGGTCAGCCTCAGCTTTCCAGCATTCTCAGCACCAGAATTCGGAAACCAAGCTCATTGTACAAAAAATTATTACATGTTGTGCTTTCTAGTTGTCATAGTTCTGTGGTGCTTATACTTACTATCTGATTTTTAAAAACATTTGGCAGGCATTACTTCCACCATCATTAAAAAGCAAATATATTAATTTATTAGTGAGTCAGTATAGCACCATATTTAAATGCCTGGCTTTGAATCCCAGCTTTGTGAGCTTAGACGATTTCTTGACCTCCCTGTGACTCAGTCTGGTCATCTGTAGTAGGAGGATAGTAATAATAACTGCTTCAAAGGATTGTTAGAAAGGCTAAATCAGTTAATACTTATCAAGTGCTTGGAAAAGTATCTGACACCCAGTAACAAGTCTGTTGTCATCGTTATTATTATTTCCATACTGGAAAGAAAAAATGAGTGGGAGAAAGCAGAATACATATACATATAACCTTTCACATGTTAGTATAATTTAGTGTGGGGAGTGGGGAGCTTTATTAGAAAACATCAATGATCAATTTCATCTACTTTGCATTTTGTCCATGGAAAGCAGTCCTAGCCCTGGGTCTTGGTGCCACAGGTCATGGGGAAAATTCTCTGGTGCTTCTGACCCTCTACACGAAGCTACATACTAGGGTCAAGTGTGAAGCCCTGAGTTCACTATCCTGAACTAGCAACTCAGTGTACAGCTGTGCGGGGGCAATGGCAGGCAGTATGAGCAGTAGGAATTTAGGGAGGAGGGAGCACGGTAGAGCCTCAGACCCTGCATGCAGGAGGAAGAGTCTATGGCCACAGTCTTGCAGGATCTGAGCAGGCACAAAGGGGAAAACAGGACCTTCTAGGTCGTGGGAACGACTGATAGAAGGCTGGACACTGGGAGTGATCCTGTGGGTTGGGGGAGAGGGCCCAGGCCTGCCAGTCTGGAACAGAGGAGTCAAGCTGGAGCCCAGCAGAAGATAAGGTTGGAAAGATAGGGTGGCACCTTGCCTGCCAGTGAGGAATTTGGCTTCTATCCTATAGGCAAATGGAGAA